ACCACATCATCTAGACATGTCTGAAATCTTTTTGGAATTACAGCTAGGAGAAAAAATCAGAACTACACTTATTCCCATTCCATACTAATCCTAATTCCCCAGTCAAGAAAGCTAAAAGACATTAGGATTTTATATTATGAGTTGCTTGCAATATTTGCAATTGTGATAGTTCCAGCTATATAGCAGCTTATGCCTTTGAAAATTTTAAAATATAAATGCTAGCATTTCAATGTATATTTCTATATGAGGTTAAATAGATTAATGGATTCATAATAGGATTCATTATCTATGTAATAAAGTTCGATTTTCATAAAATAAATACTTATTTTGATTTTAAGTTTAAAAAATTGTTTAACGTGACAGTAGTAAACTAAAAAATAAATTGAAGTAAATGAATTGCTTAAAATGCCAACAAAAATTTTAATATGATACATATCACCAAGCAATCATCAACATACACTAAGGTACAGATCTAGTGATAAATACATATATAAAAACACTAACAAAAAGATTCAGATTCGAAGTCCCTCCTTCCCAATACTGAACAAAAAAAAGCATCTAATGCTAGTTTCTAACAATAATTGTAGTATGAATTGATGAGGTAGTGGCCAGGTCGATAAGAATACATTTTATCTGTACTATCCTTTTTCCCCTATTCAAATACTATAAATAATGAAGGAGGAAATATGAGAAATAAAATGAAGATTTGTATAGTCGCCCTAAATGAAATTTAGAATTCCTATAATAGACATTAGTTCTACTAATTAGAAAATTAAACAATTTTATTAGTTGAAATTAGATAAGTTTATTCAATAATTTTTAAAATAGATATAATATAATGAATGACATATTTGAAAATTTTTATATTTTAATTTTTAACAATTATTTTTTAAAACATTTGATTGGTGTTTTTTTTATTATAAATAAAATAGTTATTATATTATGGAGAGTGTAATAAAAAGAGAAAAAGTATAAAATTAATATTTATGTTGTTAACACTTATTGATTTTTATGTTTGATAATTAATTAGAATATATAAATTTTTTTTAAAATAAAATATTTTCAAATGTATGAGTGGGTGTGCATGTGTGAGTGTAGAGAATATGCAATTTTTTATGTCGCCCTCGATGGAAGTTTGGAATATCCCTACATGAAACAAACCTGGAATATTGTTTTCAAAATTCTTTCCATTTAAAAATTTAAATAGTAATTAACTCAAATAGGATAAGGACATTATTCCATATATTATAAATCAAAATAAGAAATACAAAATAAATAATAATAATAAAGATCTATTTCACTTTGTTGAATTTTTTTTACAATTTTTAATAAAAAATACTATTTTATAATAATAAGAAACCAAACTAAAAAACAAATCAACCCAATAGAAAACCCACATAAACCAAAAAAAAAAAAAAAAAAAAAAGCAAAAACCCGAAATTGAGCCAAATCCTCCCTAAATCGGACCAAACCAGCCCGTAACCCATTAGAAGTGTCTAGAAGTAGAAAAATCCAATCGGTTCCTAACTTCTCTCCTTCCCGTTAACCAGACCGACTTCCAGCAAGCTCTCCCCTCCCCTTAGGTCGACGGCGAATGCTAGCCTATCAACTAACGAGCGTGGATCTCTTCATACTCCTTTAGCAAACAGCTTCTGGTCCATTGCTCCCCTATTCCAAGGCTTTGCCAAAGTCTAACGCAAAGACCAGAGGAGACAGACCCCGATTTGGTATCGCCGGCCGAATCTTCAAGCAATATATATATATATATACTCGTTAAAGATATTAAAGAAAGTCGTTCCTAAAAAATTAAATGATTATCCATAGAAAATAATTTTATTTAAAATATATAAATTAAAAATTTGTAAATATTATGGAACATTCCAAAAGTAAATAAAAGTAAACAAATGGAAACTCAAGGAGTAATAAAATTTAATCAAGTAATAGATTTTAAAAATCTCATTTATATATATAAAATAATATATAAATAATATATATATAAATATAATATATAATTCAATGCATTTGTTAATTATATACTTTTACCTGGCCTGAACATTTTGACATCCAGATCACATTCATAATGAACATATCATCAAATATTCAACACAACGACAAGCAATTCCAACAAGTCCAATATTTACCGGACTACATACTTTACAAATCTTCAATAACTTTATGTATACAAATAAAATTCATAAACCAGTAACAAAATCAATAATCTCGTAGCATGAGAAATATCTCATTCCAGCACATGCTTGAGATCCTTATAAGTCATCACAGCTTCATTAGAGAGAAAAATTTGTAATAGAGTTTGCCTTCCCCTATGGATTATTTTTAAATAGTTTAAAGACTCATTCCTACTAAATAGATCCTTGCAAAGAACAATAATAAGAATACAAATTGAGAATATCCAAAGTGCCACTCCTCATCGGAACCACAAGTATTTTGGACTAATTTGGTGATTTCAGTTGAGGTCTATCCTCTAATTGTGTAGTCCACAGTATTATTTCGATCCATCGAAGTCTCTTGATAAGAATGAAGAAAAAAAAAGATTATCAATAAACCAAAAATTAACATGAAGAAGTAACATCCATAACATAAATAGTAAGTAAAAAAAAAAGGTAGAACAACCATTGACCACAAACTTGCGAGAAACCCAACTTACTGCCATCCGTACCAATCTTGAATATACTTCCAGAAACACATGAAGGGCCTATTTTGATATGACATTTTATTGTATTTATGTGACAAATATATTGCCAAATGATAGCAGAAATCTTACGTGAATCGGGAATCAAAATGATTATACTCCCGTCATAAGAAGTATTATGATAATGTCGTTTGATTGACGAAATAAATATAGAGAACATAAAACTCTCAAAGAGATTTTATTGAGATATGAAATAACGATCAAAAGATAAAATGAATGTGACAATAATACAAAATAAACCCTATTTATAGGTTATTTAGGTTAATAGTCATAAAACCCTTAATACATAAAATCCGTAAATAGGGACAAAAACCATTAGTGAGGGAGGCGCAACGGACGTGCTGGATATGAGCACGGGCGTGCTGCAATATGGCACGGGCATGCAAAAGGACTCTCAAAGGGCTAGCACGGGGCCTTTGTTGGCTTTGCACGGCGGCACGACACTACGAATCTCATGGGCTCGTCAGCAACGGGCGTACTTGCACATGGCCCTGGGCGTAGCCTGGACTTCTAAAGGCTAGCCACGGGCAGAGCTTGAGGCTGTAGCACAGGCGTGCCTGATGTTACCTTAATAGCTTGGGCGTGGTACATAACGCATCCGGGACTCTCAGAGGCTATGGCACGGCATAGCCTGATAGACACGGTTGCGCCTATTCTCTTAGATTTACAGCGGTCCAAGTCTTCAATATATTTAAGTGCTAGTTGCTCCGCATCAATCCCCTACCACTAAATCCCAAAGAACTCGACCCTCGAGTAAAGATCATCATCGGAATAGAAAGGGAACAAACCAGCAACATTAAAAAGTACCTGGAAATCTTCAATGTTTCGGGCAGGTTAAGTAAAAATAGGCCATAATATCCATATAATCTTCTTGTGTATCATGAAACACGCCAATCTTTTTCCAATCAACTTCTTCTCTGTGCTCCAACGACGCTCACCTTGCGAAGATAAACCAATGAACTCAATGCACCTATGTAAAAGATTTATATCACCAGTGTTTATCAGCTACAGCTTTTATTTTTTTTTCCATTGGCCCAGCGAATTAGTGGATGATTGTTGTCTGCTCCGATTTTTCATTGGCAGCAGTGATGAATTGTTGTACTTGCTCGAATGCCTCCACGTGCTTGGTAGCCAAGTTATTAGCTGCAATGTTCATTTCTGCACCTGCTAGAAAGGAAAGAAGATCAAGAGTATAGGCCAGTACCTTCCTGTAGACAATTGCAAACGGAGATACCTTGGTGGAGCTATGGATAGCATTATTGTAAGCGAATTCTGCTTGGGCAAGAGCAAGATCCCACATTTCTTCTTCTCACTGCAAATGCACCTAAGAAGATTACCAAGAGTCCGATTCACTGCTTCAGTTTATCCATCAGTTTGGGGGTGAGCAGTACTGCTATAATTAAGTTGAGTGTTGAATTTCTTCCACAAAGTTGTCCAGAAGTGAGCTAGAAACTTTGTGTCTCAGTCAGATGTGATTGTTTTGGGAATGCCATGCAAGCGAACAATCTCTTGCAAAAATAACTTTACTATGTGTAAGGCATCATTTGTTTGCTTACAAGGGGTAAAATGTGCCATCTTGGAGAACCTGTCTACAATAACAAAAATAGCGTCAGCTCCGGTTTGAGTTCAAGGTAAGCCCAACACAAAATCCATAGATAAATCCTCCCAAGGTTGTTCCAATACAGTCAATAGAGTGTAAAGACCATTTTTTCAGAATTGCCCTTTTGTGTCTGGGAAACAGAACATTTTTGTACTAGCTTTCCTACTTCATTCTTCAACTGTGGCCAATAGAAACAAACCTCCAAACCCGCAATAGTTTTATCACAGCCCAGGTGTCCGCTTAATCCCTCACCATGGACTTCTCTAATTAGTTTTTCTTGAAGGGAAGACTGAGGGATGCATAGCATATTTTCTTTGAAAAGATACCCATCATGAACCTAGAAACCATCAGTAGGCTATTTAGCTTCAATCCTAGCCCATATGTCAGCAAAGTCTTCATTTAAAGCATAGAGATCTTTAAAAAACTCAAACCCCATAATCTCTTGCCTAATGGTAATCAACAAAGCTGATCTCCTACTCAAAGCATCCGCTACTGTATTACAAGTACTTGATTTGTGCTTGATGACATAATGGAAAGTACCAAAATACGTTGCCAATGTGCATGCATCTTGCTCACTTTCTTTTGAGTTTGAAAATGAGTTAAAGCCTGATGATCGGTGTAAATAATGAACTCACGCCCCAACAAATAATGTTCCCAAGTTTTGAAGGTTCGAAAAACTGCATATAATTCTTACCCATAGGTAGACCATTTCTGCCTAGCTTCATTCAGTTTTTCACTAAAAAATGCTATAGGTTTTCTGGATTGTGACAGCACACCACCAATTCCAATCCTACAAGCATCACAATCAACCTCAAACAATTTATCAAAATCAGGTAAAGCAAGAATAGGGGCGGAAGTAAGCTTATCTTTAATCTCTTCAAAACTTCTATTTGCAGCTTCAATAATAGGGGCGGAAGTAAGCTTATCTTTAATCTCTTCAAAACTTCTATTTGCAGCTTCAATCCACACAAATTGACGAACTTTCTCCTTCTTCAAACAGTCTGTGATAGGTGCGACGATGCTGCTAAAATTCTTGATGAACCACATATAGAAGGTAGCAAGACCATGGAAACTACAAACTTCAGTGACGTTCTTGGGACTAGGCCAATTTCGAATGGCCTCAATCTTTCTGTCATCAACATGAATTCCTTTCGTGCTAACAATATAGCCAAGAAATAGAATCCTCTCTGTCATAAAGCTGCACTTCTTAAGGTTGATGTACAACTCATTTTTTTGCAAAGCATCCAACACCCGTCCAAGGTACTGAAGGTGTTCCTCCTCCATGCGACTGAAAATTAAAATGTCATCAAAGTGCAAAACTATATATTTGCGCAAGAAAGGATGCAAAACCTGAGTCATAAGTCACATGAATGTGCTCGATGCATTAGTCAACCCAAACGGCATAACCAACCACTTAATCCTTCCTTAGTCTTGAAGGCAATCTTCCATTGATCTCCCTCCTTGATTCGGATTTGATGATACCCACTACGAAGATCTATTGATTACCCACTACGAAGATCTATTTTAGAGAAACATTATAGATCCTGACAGTTGGTCCAACTTTAGTCAACCCAAACGGCATAACCAACCACTTAATCCTTCCTTAGTCTTGAAGGCAATCTTCCATTGATCTCCCTCCTTGATTCGGATTTGATGATACCCACTACGAAGATCTATTTTAGAGAACATTATAGATCCTGACAGTTGGTCCAACTTGTCCTCCAGACAAGAAATAGGGAATCGATACCGCACCGTGATCTTATTGACTGCCTGACTGTCAACACACATCCTCCAAATCCCATCTTTTCTTTGTATTAATAAGGCAAGAACCCCACAAGGACTAATGCTCTCCTGGATGTGACCCTTCTTCAATAATTCTCTTACCTATTCTTAAAGGATCTGGCTCTCCTTTGGATTCATCTTATAATAGGGCAGGTTTGGTATCTTTGATCTAGGGATGAAGTCAATCTGATGTTGAATGTCCCATAAAGGTGGAAGTGTAGATGGTTCTTCAACGACGGCATGAAACTCATCTAGTAACTCTTTGACTGGTGGTGGTACTAGTGCCCCTTCATTAGAGCTTGTCTCTGGTTTAATCAACAATGCCAATGTACCCCCTGACTTCTCAATTGTACCAGATAATTCCTACACATTGGAAGAAACAACTACTATGGATTTCCCCTCCACTTTAGAAGCTTTGGTAGAAGATCCAGAAGATAAGACAATGATTTCTTGTTTTTCCAAGTGAACATGTATGAATTCTCTCTACGCTTGTGCAATGCATCTACATCAAACTGCCATGGATGTCCCAATATGATGCGTCCCACATCACCCGCGGAGTACATCCTGGGCTAATGTATAAGGCTGGGTTCAGTCCTTCCCCTACGAGCTAGCTTTTGGGGCGAAGTAAGGGGTCCAGATCCATATCATTTGGTATCAGAGCTCTTCCTTCGTAGGGTTGGTGTCTTATGGGGTTCATCAAAACACCGACTGAGGCAGTCGGGTCTTATGGGGGTGGGGATGATGCATCCCACATCGCCCGCGGAATACATCCTGGGTTAGTGTATAAGGCTGGGTTCAGTCCTTTCCCTACGAGCTAGCTTTTGGGGCGAAGTTAGGGGTCCAGATCCTTATCACAATAGTTCTCCGTAGGCATCCATATCCACAACATCACAATTGACATAGTCTGAGTATGACTTTCACATTGAGATGGGAACTTTGCAAACCCGGTTTACTTCAATTATTGGACCCTCTTTAATCCACCCTACCTTGTATGGTGAAGGATGTGGTTCTGTCGATAGATTTAGTTTTTCAACCAGTGGCTTGGCTATCAAATTTTCACAGCTACAACTGTCGATAATGAGTTGGCACACTGCTTCACCAACCCGACATTTAGCTTGGACAATTTTTCTCTGTTGAGTTTTGCTTTCTTGTTTTGTAGAGCACCAAATTTTCTAAACAACAAACGCGACCTCACCCTCTTCTGAGCCAGCCATGGATTCATCATCTTCGTCTTCTACCTCTTCAACTTCAGTCACCTCATCAACTATATTCAACTGTCGACGCCCTTCATCTAGACATATGTTAGATGTATGTCCCAGTTTTCTGCATCGATAACAATAGTCTTTGATTGGCTTCTAATACGGATTCGACTTATTGTTTCTGTCTGTCATGGGTGCCTTTCCCCGGGAATCTTTCTTTTCCTCTGTTAAAGGCTGCTGTGAATTCTGCTTATTAACAGGAGTTGTTGTTCTTGAATTCTGCCCACCAGAATTTCTGTTGAACTATTGATTTTCGGATGAGTAGGATTGCTTGATATTCTCATTTCAATTAGACAGTTGTCGAGGCTGCTAGTTAATCATATCTTCTGCACGTTTGGCCATCTCAATTGCACCAGCCAAAGTGAAAATTGTAGTTACACCCATCATACACATTATATCATGGTTCAGTCCCCTCTGATAATGAGCTACCTACTGGGATTCGGTTTCACAGTTGTCACAATGAGCTTATAATCTCAAAAACTCTTCTATATACTCATCAACTTTTCGATTTCCTTAAAAATAGTCTTGGTACCTGTTATATAAAATTTGAAAGTGATCACTAGGAAGGAAACATTGCTCAATCATCAGTTTCATTAAAACCCAATCTGGCACAGGTTCAATCTTTTGACGATGGCATTCGTTTTGAACAGAGTGCCACCATGCTGCTACACCTCCTTTCAGTTTATAGGCCACTATAGAAACTTTATGTTCATCCTCAACATTCATGACCTCAAAGAACAATTTGACCTCCGCTAGCCAATCAAGAGTACTTTCAATATCTAACGATCCTAAAAAAGGTTGAAGGTCTACATTTATTTTGGATCCATCATGAAAATTTTCACCCTTGTTTCTGTAATCTCGGCCTCCATCATAACGATTTTGACATCTTGCAAAATCTGGTTGTTGCTGATTCAAACCTGCCGCTGCAGCTACAGGTTGCTGGTTGCCCTGTTGAATTACGAGAGTCAATTGTTTAATCTGTTCGGTTAACTTGTCGAATTTCGCCTTATGGCCATGAGTCATGCTTCATGATTGTCGGCCATGGAGATACTTTGCCTTTCAATTGTGATACCAACTAACGCAAAACGGTTACGTGAATGGGAATAAACGATTATACTCTGTCAGGAGTTTTGATCAATGTCGTTTGATCTGACAAATAATATAAGAGAACTAAGCTCTCAAATAGGTTTATTGATATGAATAATGATCAAAAGATAATGAATATGTCAATAATACAAAATAATCTATTTATAGTTTTAGGTTAAAAGTCATAAAACTATAAAAATAACATAAAATTCGTAAATAGACAAAAACCCCTCACTTGGCACGGTCATGCCGACACTCGAATCTTCATGGCCTCATCAGCACGGGCATGCTTGACATGGCACGGGCGTGCTTGGACTTCCAGAGGCTAGCACGGGCGTGCCTGTGTTCCTTATGCTTAGGCGTGTCTCACATCCAGGACTCTCAGAGACTAGCACGACCGTGTTGGAAATGGCACAGCCGTGCCTCTTCTTCTTAGATTTGTAGTGACCCAAATCTTCCATATTTTTAAGTGCTAGTTGCTCCACATCATAAAAGATTCAAATGGCTAGTGCAAAAATCTCTAACTAAGCTTTCTTAATAAAGCCTAGTCCATATTTCCTAAATCTCGGCAACCCAATCCCCATTAATTATATAGATTTTTAAGTTTATCTTAATTAATAAGAACTTGGCGAGCATTAGAAATTGCTACCCATATATAAAAAATTCAGACAAAGCCATTCCATTTCGTCACACACATAAACACAAAAAGGCTATTAGTCTTCTCAGAATAATTGGGTATAGATTTGAGAATTGATTGAATAAAAGTTTCTCACCCTATAATAGATTGAGCCCTAGCTTTCCATCCAGCAAGACATTATATTATTGCATTCTATCAGAAGAAATTGATAAAGGTTTTTACTAACTGGCCATGGATAGATGAAACATAAAGATATACACTAAGATCCATAGTAAGCAGGATATGCAAAATATTTGATAATTCCTTCTTCAATACCTCATAAAAATTGACAAAATGTTTGATACTTCCTTCATCAAAACCTCATAAAATTTGAATGATGAATTCATACAAGTTGATGGATTATCAAGACATGTCAATAACCATAGCAAGTGGAGAACTTAACCTTCAATTTAATTTGAGTAAGTATTAGGAAAGGCCTAACCTTCAATTTCACCTCAAATTTTTTGAGTAGTTGTAATTTCACTCTAAATCAACCTTTATACTCTGAGCACCCTAAACTTACTAGAGTTCCTAAAACTATTTAATTGAAAATCCAACCATAAAAAGTTACGAAAGGAAATAGATGGACTTCCTTAAACAAAATCTATCATAAAAGAAATAACCTTTCTATCTATTATTTTGCACACAATAGCATGGATAAAACATACTACTAAAAAGAATATGTCATCATTATAAACATGCCAAATGCCTCCACTAAAGCCCAAAGCTTCCACTCGAACCCATCTTGAAAAACTTAAGCGAAATAAATCCTATCCTACCTCTTAGACAATGCCAAACTGTAAAAATCATAAAAACTACTATAAGAGGAAAAAAAAAAAGAAGAATGTACATCAACAGAATTAAGTGAACTGACCACCAGAGAAGGAGCCACATTCCAAAATTAGAGGGAACCAAAAGAAAATTTTTAAAATTAAAGGGGCCAAAGCAAATATATTGAATAGTTCAAACATTTCTTAATCTTACTTGTTTTTCGCATACTCACTCTGTTTTTTTTATATTGGAAAATTTTTCATTTTAGGTGTTCTTTTTATGTAAAAAATTTTGCCTAATTTAGTAACTTTAAGAACCATACCAATATGAAAAGTCTATCTGACTCTTATTTTAATCATTTATGAAGTTTTTAGTGTAGGAGATTCTCAAAATAGTATGAGACAAAGATATATAAGCATTTAATGTTAATAAATTTTGGAGAATGAATTTGTTTACATCAATTTTCCAAAAAAAAAAAAAATGTGCTCAGATAGGTTATATGAGCACTGCTTAAAATGGAGTTTGAATAGAAAATGTCATAAAATTTTCAAGTTGACCACGTTTAAAGGAATTCTTATGGACTTCACTGAATATTTAAAAATTTGCGCAATTTTTAAAGTAAGTTTTCAATAATCAAAGGCAGTTGAAAAGTTAAATGAGCACAAATTTTCATATTTCCACTCAACTTTTCCAAATGGAGGGCAAAAAAT